GTGACAAATGAAATAACCCATAACCATTTTTGAAACCTAAAGTCATGCAGAATAATTATAGACATTTTTAATGTTTGTCAACTTAACACAAAAATGCACTTAATTTATTATCCAGAATCCCACCTTTATAAAAAGTCACCTTAAAGCAAAACCCAGAGACCCAGATTATTAAACATTTTTTTCACTTCAAGTCCCGAACTGAGAGCAAGGGTATCTCAGTCCTTCCGGATTGCACACCAAATGACAGGCCAGTTGTGTCATTGTGTGAACTTCTGTCCTAGTCACCTTTACCTTTCAACATTGCCTGCTAGAACAGTTGCACTTCACTTTTCAATTTAGCCAGATAATCTATCAGTCAGTCTGTCTGTCCATCTATCTATCTGTCTATCTGTCTATCTATCCATCCATCCAATCCATCCATCCATGTTAAGTTTCAAAAATCCCAGGGCTCAAAATTTTCTTTATGTTTAAATGATAGGAAGCCCAAGCAAAGTACTACAGATTAAATGTCACACAGTATATACAGTGCCCAAGAGGTTTGACATTTTTCATAATCAAATTTTTGTCTTAATGAACTGTAGTCTATAAATTTGACATAATGGAAAATTTAAAAACAAAACTATATAATTTTAAAACATTGAAGAAGGAAATAAGTAATAAATGTCTTGTGCCTCTCTTCAAAAAGGCCTCTTCATCAAAATTTACATGAGCAGTTTTATATTACTTACCTTGCCCCTTCACCCAAAATGTAAGTATATGAAATATTTTTCTTTATGTAAGGTCTGTGTTCAAGGACAGTATACTAAGGTGGACATCTTTTTCCATGAAGATTCACAGGGAATTCCCAACATTTTGAGCTTTACAATGATTAGTAGAGCCTCTCAAATAAGATACAGTAAAGTATGGACATGAGCTTCGATACAGAAGAATGACCATGCTTATTATTTTACATATATGATTATCTAATCCTTACAATAATTTCCTGTCATTGTTACTATAACCTCCTACTTTAGAAATGAGGAAACAGATGCTCAAAGAGTTACAGTAAATTGACTGGCATCACAGAACGTGAAGAAGTAGAACCAGGATTTGTACTTGTGTTCCTCAGGTAGGGGCCCTTGCCCTTCCTTCTTACATCTGTATATTTCCAAGATATTTTGCTAGAGTTTTTAGATGGTATCTTATATCAACATAGAAATGTGGGGTTTTAATTTAAATCCTATACTGTATCTCCTCTTACTAATTCCCCTTTTGGTGGCATAAGAGGGAGGCAGGAAAAAGGAAATAGAAGTAGAATAGCTTAAGGAACAGACAGTTCTCATCCCTGCAGGGGCTTTCTTCAGTTTTTAGGCACTGTATACAGTTCCCTATGGGTTATAGTGATTGTGTTGGTGATAGTGTTGAGGATTGGCTTCTTATTTGAATTTAAATTATTGTCCATTTTTAAATTAATGTTTCCATTCTCTGTCACTTATTTCTAGATTTTTAAGTAAAAAATAAGGAAGGGGGAATAATCAAAGCTGATTTTTTTTGGACTTCCATCCTTTGGACAAGTATTTGCACAGTTAGAGTAAAACCTGAAATACTCAAATCTCTTTCTAGCTATTTTGGTACTGAGCTCCAGATCCATGCTGGAGTGTCTAGCATTAGAGATCAGGTCAAGTCCCCTGGGTTTGTGAGAACTGACCCCTCCGGCCTTCTACTGGTGAACAAGCCCAGCCACAGTCACTAGAGCGCCAGACAATGATGGCCATGACCTTAGCCCTGCCTGTTTTATTAGAAATAGAATGCTATATTTCTGTTTGCTAGCTTTGGGGTTTAGAGCACAGTTTTTGTCAAAGAACCTCACATTCAGAGGAGAGATGAACAAAGGGTCATGAACTTTGCCGTGATCGTAACACTTTGCTTTTTCATATTCCAAGCCAAAACTGCTCTGCCCTGTCTGATGCAATTAACAGTAAGAGCCAGAAAAAGTTACCTGATTAAATACTTCAAGTGCAGTTGCCAAGTTTCTATCCCCAGGAGATAGAGAAAAAAGAGACCATGTGAGTTTCTTGGTTATGAGAAACCTTGAGAAAGTAGACTTGAAAATATGCTCTAGGCAGTTTGTTCAACAATACATCAGGGAAATTCAAGTTTGTGCACTGATTACCCAATTGCTGAATATGTTATTTAATTGTGAGCTTACTCTAACTCCATCTTTATTTTGTAAACTCAATTTTTCCAGATGTTTGAGGCTAGTTTTATAGGCACTAGACACATAAGGGAAAAAAACCCTTCCAGCATATATTGTTGAACTCACTAAAGCTCACAAATATTAAGTTTAGGACACACATGACATGCTATGGTATTTTTCATAATTACAGGCAGTCTGTGGCGTTCATGAGTACCTTAAACCTCCTTGCTTTTTGAAATCTTTAAATTTTGAAGTTAAGCTGCAGTTTATATACTGGGTCTTGTGTAGCATTGTGGGATATAGTGATCATCTTTTTAGGGACTCTGTAATATAAAAATAGATTTATAATTTAAAAACTTCCTAGGAAAAAACCCTCCAGGCCCAGCTGGCTTCACTGATGAATTCTATTGTACTTTAAGGGGAGACATAATACTCACAGAACTAAGTTATTCTCTTTCAGGAAATAAATGAGAGAGGAATTTTATGAAACCAAAATTTCCCCAATACCAAAATCAAAATTTTGTGTTTTTTTGTTTTTGGTACTGGGGATGGAACACGGGACCTTGCGCTTGCAAGGCAGGTGGCGGAACCACTGAGCTAAATCCCCGTCTCCCAAAATCAAAATTGTTGCAAAAAGTAAACTAAAACAATATCCCTTGCTATCCATCATACACGGAAAAATCCTTTATAACATATTAAAAAAAAATAGACACAATAGCATTTGATAAAATTCAGCCATGAAATAATTTCTTAGCAAAATAGGAATAGTAGGAACTCCTTTAGTCTGGTAAAGGGTGCCTGTGGCAAATTTATATCCCCTAAGACAAACAAGGACAACAGCTCTTACTACCTGTATTCGCCATTGTGATAGAAATCCTAGCAGATTTTGTAAGACAAGATATGAAAGGCACACAGGTTGGAGAGTCAGTAGTAAATTGTCTTTCTTCATATGCTTTTGCTTACTTGCTTGAGACTTTGGACAGTTTACTTGATATCACTTAAACCCAGTCTTCGAACATGTGGGCAAATAATGGTTTTTACCTTAGACTCATTCTGACCTCGAATGAGAAAATGTAAAAAGTCTAAATAAACATTAATTTCTGGTGCTATCATTAACAAATATCACTGTCACTAATTTTTCTTAGTTAATATTAAGTATTTTCTATGTGGCATTCACTGTACTCTAGGATTTGTATGTGTTGTATCATTCCAGACTAAAACCTGTGATGAGACTCTCCCTTCACATGTGAGGAAAAGAGCTTTAAGAGTAAGGTGGTTTTCCTGGGGAACCATGCATGTTGGGGTATGCATGAGCCCCAACGCATGTTGTGTTCCTTACCTCTTATATGAGACTGTTTCCAAGAGGAACAGGAAAGACCCACCCAAGGGCCTTAGAAGATTGGGTGCTAGGAAGGAAAACTGGCAGATTTTAGATTTTTTCTTTCTGAAAATTTGCAGATAGGAGCCAGAGAGTGGTGAACAGTAAAGATTGGCAGGATTTCTTAGGAGAGACTTGAGCACTGAGTTTTTTGGGAGTGTCTTTGTCTCGAGTGGTAAATGAAACATCTAAAAGCTATCCAGCAATATAACATTTATTGAGTGCCTGCTGTGTGCTCCTAAAATTGCTCTGATTTTGCGTAGGGTGGGACATCATCTCCAGAGAAATTGAGTCCAGTTTTAGGGGCCTTGCTTCTGCAGTGGGCTGTTTGCCAGGTAGTCCTGGCTCTAGGAGAGCAGAGATCCTCACACTTCTAGCAGAATATAACATGCAGCTGTCCCTCCCTTCTTGGTATTCCAGAGACACATTTTGGAAAGGGTGCAGAGGTCCAGCTCCCACAATATCCTGCCTAATCTTGCCTACGATGGTGACAATCGTAGGCTGAATGGGAGTGAAAAGCATATAGAATAAGGACTTCCAGACCCTCTCCCATACATGCCACTTAGCAGACTGCAAAAAATTATCCTTGAATAAACAATTTCCATTTCCCATGATATGAAAAGGGGGAAAGAGCGTCACTTTGCATAGCTCACAGGTGGTGAGTTTGCATTGGCTTTAGAGTTTCCAGTGGTCATAAAGATTACTCCTGCATGGTCATAAAGGAGGCCAGAGTGGGAAGACTGCCCTTGCTAATTGCACAGGAAGAAGAAACTCTATGAATGAAAAGTGTTGCAGAAGAAATCCTGGTTTAATGACATGGTATATAGAACTGGGTGGACTGTGAGGAAAAGAAGTATAATTTATAGGAAATGGCCTTCTATCCTCACAAAGAGCCAGGTTGAGCCTACCATAACCTAAATTCCCCTGACATACCTATGATTGTATTGGTAATGTGTTAAAAGACGGACGTTATCTGTGCTTTTATATTACACTAATCCCACCAGGCCAGCACTGAGAAGTTAACAAGATTTCTCTCCTTGATTATATACAGTGAATTTCATAGGCACCTGCTTTTCATTTCATTTTTTTCCCTTGAGAGTTTCATTGAAAACATTGAGGTAAGCTCAAAATTATTCAGAAAAATCAAGATTGCTTAGTATATTAATTTGCTTAGTTTTAAAAATTACCTTTTCAACAGAGTTGTTTGCGTAATTTGATTTCTTAATTTCTCTCTCATTTAGTAGTTGGAAGACTTCTGAGGTACTCAAACTGTTTGTAGGAAATGTCTCATATATGCTGTCTGGTTTCTAATTTGAGTTCTTCAAGAACGAAAACTTATGGAATATTTTTAACTTGTTAACTTGTATATGATACAACCTCCTTAAGTGTTCTTTTTTGTTTAACTTACTATACTTTTTTTTGTTTGTTCATTTTAACTTAATCCAGAAATAGACAACAAGAAATATTACAAGTACAGCAAAGAGAAGACATTAAAGTGGCTGGAAAAAAAGGTATGTATGGGACTTTTCTAGTGCCATAAAAAAAAGTTCCTTTAAAAAAAATTTGTAGATAAGGCAGTAAGACTGAATCCAAAGACCATCCTCTATGTCCAGTGAAAAGAGGAAAACTATATACAAAGATCCAAGATTGAAAAGAAACTCAGTAATATGGTTTTTTTTTTCCGGTACTGGGGATTGAACTCAGGACCTTGTGCTTGGGAGGCAGGTGCAGTGCCACTGAGCTACATCCCCAGTCCCCAGTAATACATTTTCTTTTGACCTGCATTGTCTTTTCTCTTGGTTCCACCACTGGACAAAGGGTTTCATGCTGCTGAGTTACTGCAGGTTTGAGTCTTCCAAGCCAGACAGTACCAGGACATTGCTACTCTTAGCCCAGCAGGTATCTCCTAGGTCAGTGTTGGTCACACAGCCAGGCAATGGATGGAGAGAGGAAGGTTTGTGGACTTAGAGGAAGTATATCTTAAGTGTGTAGTTGCTGAAGAGGTGTCTCTTCCAGGCAAACCTTTTATCTTTTGAGACTCTAAAAATTTTGAGTTTATGTAAGGTCTGGAGCTTTATTTTTTAAATCAAGTTAATAGATCATTGCCAGTATTTCTCTTGGAATGGAATGGGATGGACTAAGACAGGATAGAATGGATGAAAGTACAGCACAGAGTAAGGGTAAATATTGCAGGCTAGCTCTGTGAAACATATATTGAGATATATGTCTGAATATTGATTTGCAGTATATTTCTTAGTGTGAGTTGTGGTTTAAAAAACAACCACCACTACCTTAGAAAAGCTGCTGGTTTAAGAATATCATGTATTTTCACATTCATTAAAACATCTCACTAAACCAGATGAATGACGATTTTTGTAAGATTAGTAAACACTATTAGTTATAACACTGTTGCCTAAGATTCCCCTGGCTCTTGTTTGTATAATGTTGCCAATATATTGGGAATCTGGAAACACGGAAATGAACTTTGTGAAGTTAATCAGGCTCTTAATGTACAGAGTAGTGAAAAGATTTACAAAGGGCCACCATATTCCATTTAGAGTAGTTCTTATAGTAGTGGTATTCAATGTAGGTAAAAGTTCTGAACAAAACTGACATTTCATTTTTGCTTTTAAGAAATGATAACATAACTTGCAAAGCTAAGTTTATACTTATTATGCTTCTCAGGAAATGGGAATTTTTTTGTTTAGAAATTATTGCATGTTAGCACAAAGCCATTTCACTGTTTTTATGCCCATTTCACAGAGGTACAGAAAGGTTAAGTAAAGGGTCCATGGTCACAGAGCAGACCCAGGCAACCTGACTGTAGTCAGTGCTCTCAATCACATTATGTTGCCTCTCATATCATGTAGGTCGCAGGAAGTCCTTGTGTTGAGATCACCTAAAAATGTTGTTGTGGTCAAGCCATCTCATCTTTTGATATCTGGTGAAGATATTCATAGGTTCTCACATACTTCTTCCCAGATCTTAAACAGATTGAGGGCCATCTGGAAAATCACAGATTTCTTGAATTAAATTGAAAATACCTTGATTTACCCTTCTTGTGGTTACTTCCTAGGTTAGTCAAACAGTGGCAGCGTTAAAAGCCAATCATGTCAATGTCGGTGTCCGGGTACAGTCAGCTGCATTTTTCTCCAGTGACCAGATTTCCAGTGACAAGGAAGGTAAGTAAGTGCTTTTGTCAGAAATAATTTTTGTCTGGAGATAAATTGCTTAGGTGTCAGTGCCTATCTGAGTATCCAAAACTCATAATGGCACAGAAGCTTCATATTCTTGTCCATATTCTCAGAGATCTTGGGGCTGATGTGCATCTTAATTCAGAATCAAGCAGTATTTCTACTGTAGGTCACTTGTGTCAGTAATTGATACTTGAACCACTCATCAAGCAAGCAGTTATTTCACACTAATTGTACCTAAGACACCTGGCTGTCATTTACAGAGAGTATGTCATGTGCCAGGCGCTTGGCTAAGCTGCAAGTATTCAGAAGTGATCTCTGACCTTCTCAAGAATTCTCATGAGAGTCAAGACTGTGTCTGAAGTGACCTGTCTGTTCAGTGACAAAACTGAGCTGATGCTGGAGCTTGTGTCATTCTAAAGCCCACACTTTTCACCTTTTTGTTGTACTATTCTCTTGGCATAGGGTTTCCAGAGGGTGTATATCTTTCGTCTTAGTCTCATGAAACGTATTCTAAAATAGCTCTCAGAATTTTGATTTTGATGGAAATTGATTCAACTTGGGGGCCGGGGGGTTAAGGTTTATTCTTCTTGCTTTTTCCAGTATAGTAGCCCCTTATTTTAAAATGTATACTTGAATAAAAAGTTACATAATTCAACTGAAATTCTCAAATGATGGGGCAGAAATTATTCTTACCTTAAGCCCCAATTCAGTGTTTCCTTGTTCTGGATATATATGAGCTTACACAGCTTATATAGCCATTAAAAATTTAGCCATTAAAAATGAATTTAGCCATTAAAAATGAGGATGATGAACAGTGGCCTGTTTGTGATTGGTGGTAATTCAGGCAGTCTTTGATTTGCAGAAATCTATTTTATGACACCTTGCTTATACACCTAGCTGACTCTTGGTGTTCTGGGAATGATGGACACTACACTTGCCATACCAAGTTCACCAGTTGTCACTGTCTTTAACCCACATTAACAAAAGAAGAGGAAGAAGAAATGAGTCAAATAGGCACATGGGTGGATAAATGGACCTATGTGGCTGTAGTTTTTTTTTTTTTTAGTAGGAGAAGAGATGTTAGGGTTAAGACAGATCTCACTTTAAAAATGATAAACTGTGGTTTCAGAGAAATCCTGATGGTGAGTAAGATACTCTGCTCTAAGTCCAGTCCTTTCACATCTTAAGTTCTGGGCTGGGTTGCACTGCTATTGAGTGTCCCAGCCACAAAGTAAGTTGACGCACTTCACCAGAATTTCTTTCTTGGATCTTTGGTTTGGTGTCTTACCAGAAGAAGCAAATGAACTGTATCTTGGCCTTCTTAAAATAGTTGACTTAGAACCCTGAGCACATTTTAAGAAGGGCCTAATGATGACTTTGAGTTCTACATAATAGTGAGAATCTTCTACTTCAGATTTTTGAGAACAAGTAATCCCCAGACAACAGTCATTTTCTAAGGCAATACTGAGGCACATTGTTACCTTAGCTTGCAAGCAGAACAGAAAGAAGAAAAGAAAGAGAATGAAGGTCCCAGTGGCACACTTAGAGTTAGCTTTTGGATGTTTGTATCCCTTTGTCATCCCATCTCCTGGTTAAGCGTGATTGTCCCACAATACTGGATTAAGGAACTGTGTTTGGAAACAGATTTTATTGTCTTGTGTAACTGTGTTTAATTCATATCAGATCACATTTTTGTACCTAGGGTCCAGAAGCTCTAGAATTAATTATTGTACATTCCACTGAGTAAGTTGATTCTTATTTTTTTAAAAAACATTTTATTAGCTTGGAAATATCTATAATGTTTGAGGTTTTTATAAACCAAATATCAAATAGAAATATATCAGTTATTTTATTATTTCATTTTTATTTCTTATATAAGCATACTCATTACTATTGGATGCTTAGATTTATTCTGTATAGAAGTAGACTTAGAAAAGATTAGCCTTACATATGACATCGATATCATACTTTAATACCTTATTTTAAAATTTTGTCTATTTCGGGACCTCAACTAAGAAAGCAACCCTGGGTTTTTGTTTTTACTGTCATTCGGTGGGTATCTAATGTGCTACCATATCACATCTTTGGTATCATCCTGTACCCTGTGTTATTGATCACATTTTTCTCTGACAGGTAGATAAGAATATCCCTATTTTGTTAATGAGGCAGCTGAGGCTAGAGTTTAAGTGGTTTCCTAAAGCCGTATAGAATGAGAACTTGAACTAAGGTTAAGTTGACTATAAAACCACCATAATTATTACAAATTTTTCTCTTTTACTCTTTATTCTCTTTCTTTCAGAGGATTTTATTCGTTATGCCCATGGTCTGATATCTGATTACATCCCTAAAGAATTAAGTGACGATTTATCTAAATACTTAAAGTAAGTGTCATTCATCTTCAGGTCTAATTAACAAGTATCTGTGCTTTTTGGTTTCTCCAGCAGTAGGGTTTCTGTATGGCTTCTTATATTGTTGTTTGTGGTGAGAGATTATTCTTGAACTATGTCATATACTCTGTGGATTGGAAATTATTTTTAATGGACGTTGATTGGAATGAATTGATTTTGGTGGAAACTCTGATTACAGAAAGTTTGCATCCTTTGTATGATTTTAGAGGATAAAGTATATTAAACTTTTATCACCAATGAAACTTAATGAATTTGGTTCTTTGAGATCATTTTATGAGAAAGAAAAGTGGAAAATGAAGTGATGGAAGACATGTAGAATATTTTCAAAAATTACATTTTAAAGTTTTACACCATTTTCACTATTATCATTAGATGTTCACTAAGTACCTTTATAATTCTGAGTACTTGGAATTCAAAATCATTTGACAAAACTGTGTCCTTGAGAGATGAAACAATCATCCTAAAGAGGACTTCATTTGTATTCCCTCCTTTATAAAAATTTTTAATATAAGGACTTTGCTCTTTTGTAGCATAACTATGTTTATTGTCAAGATTTTAGCAAATGTTATTAAGATTATATGTGCGTGATGATTTAATACCTTTTCCTGCCCCTTACACAATCCTGTTTTCTTTAATACATAATAGATAATAATAGATATAGTTGCTGTTTATAGTGAATTCCATATGTCCTACTTTAAAACAGTGGAAACTGGTTTCTGTAGAAGTTAAAGTATGTCAAAAGCTTGTTAACCATCCTTCTGTTTAATATTTCCCTTGATTTATTGACTGCTTGTCTTATTAGATATATTATGTTTTTATAATCCATTATTTGTTTTGATTCACTTCTCTCCACTGAAATTTTTAATTTTGGGTTAAAGATTTGTGAAGAGAGATCCAATTATACTTCTCTTTAATGGGAGAATAGGTGAAGCTTACGTGGCTTTTTGTCAGTAGTTACATTAATTTTCACTTTTAAATAAATGCTAGTATCATCATTTATGAAGAAGTATCCCAATGCGAAAACACAAAATTGAGGCTACAAACAACTCTTTCAACAAATGGTTCTAATTTTATTTTTCTGTTTGATAATTCCAGCATAAGGAATTAAGTAGTAAGATGAAGATTCATTTATTTACAGAAATTTTATTTTTTACTCTGAAATAATGGAACAAGAAGATCTATGGAAGTAATGCTATAAGAAAAGAAGGACTAGGGAGTGAAGGGAGGGCTAGAAATGGGGAAAAAATAAGAACCAAGATGCATCATGTAAAGGTACAAGTTCCCAATGAGAAATGTAAATGTGTTGTATACCTAAAATGTACCAATAAAAGAATTTAAGTAATAAAAAAAAGAAAAGAAAAGAAGGACTCACTAAGTCTTAAATGGGCCCAGTCTGTCTATTTGCTTGTCTGTGAAAAACCATGACTGTAATTCTAATTTTTAAACTTCCTTAGGCTTCCAGAAACTTCAGCTCCAATGCCAAACCCTCCATCAAAGGTAAGAAATTGTGATTGAAATATCTTCGGGATACATTGAAAAATATCACTTTTACCACATGAATTTAGATTGTTCGTAGTGTAAGGATAGATGGGACCCCTAGGTAGGGTCAGAAAAGGGATATGGGCCCTTTAAAACTCAGGAGAAAACTACCTTGTGGTCACCTTGATTGTTGCAGTTGGTACCAAAGTTCCTCTGTCAGCCTAGCAACAAACCAGCCAACCAACTGGGTGGGCTCCCCCAGAGGGGAGAGACCACCACCTTAACCCCATAAATAGAGGACTGCTGCCCATACTCTGCAGTTACCCAGCTCTGGGGACTACACTCCTTAGTTTGGCTTTGTGTCTTCTGTCAATAAACTTTACTGTTGCTTTGCACTATCTTCTGACTCTTCATCTTGTTTCTATGTTGGAGAGAGACAGGCCCAGGAAAATTCGATGGTAGTCTAGTGACCTAGGGCATGACATTAATATATTTTAAAGCATACAAAAGCAGTGGTGGCAAACCTATGGCACACATGTCACAGCAGGTTTTTTATATTATTGAAAGATCTAAAAGGTTCACCATCACTGGCATAGAGTGATGCAATGTGGAATATAGATTGTGTTGAGCTCTGCATCAATATTTTTTATTTTGTACATTTTACTTGAATGGTGAAAATCACATTGATTTTTAGCAAGATACTTTTGTAAAAATATTGATGTACAGTGGACCCTTGACTTATGAACTCTATCGGTTCCCGAGGGCTGGTTGTAACTCAAGTTGGTTGTAAGTCAGCACAGCTGAGATATGGATATTTTCCTGGGTACAAGCTATAGATAACAAGAGGCAAACAAATTTTCCATTAACCTCATTAACCCAAGTTGTTCATAGGTCAGGCCAGTCATAACTTGATGGTCTACGGTATAATTAAAATGGATTTTTTTTTTAATAGTACTGGGGATCAACCCCACTGAGCTCATTCCCAGCCTTTTTTAGTCTTTATTTTGAGACAGTGTCTCACTAAATTGCCCAGGCTGGGGCTGGGGATTTAGCTCAGTGGTTCCACCGCCTGCCTGACAAGTGCAAGGTCCCAAGTTTGATCCCCAGAACAAAAAAAAAAAAAAAAAAATTGCCTAGGCTGGCCTAGAACTTGACATCCTCTTGCCTCAGTCTTATGACAGAATGAAAGGTACACATCACAACACATGGCTGTAAAATCTCCTTGAGTTAGGAAGATCACTTAGTGAATTTTACTAATCACCCAGAATACTCCATATATAACACATTTTGCCAAATCTAATCGTCCCTGGACAGAGGCACTCAGAGGATGATTTTTGTAATACAGGCCTTTGAATGACCACCGAATTTCTTTTCTGCATTTGAGATTAATCAAGTTTCTGTGTAATTGTCATCTGTAGGTGGGAATCTTTCTTCTCACTGAGACATTCTTAAACTGTCAACCTCAGCTGCTCTACAGTTTATGTTTATTTCCCATATGTAAAGACCAGAGAATCCAGTTATAAACCATACCTAACCGGGCTGGGGATTTAGCTCAGTGGTGCCTCTGCCTGCCTCACAAGTGCAAGGTCCTGAGTTCGATCCCCAGTACCAAAAAATAAAAAATAAAAATAAAAATAAACCATATCTAACCACCACACACTGTAGCACCCCTCAGTCTAGGCCAGTGGTGGTGAACCTATGGCACATGTGCTGCAGCAGGCTGTTTGTATCATTGAAAGCTCTAAATGGTTTGCCATCAGTAGCCTCAGCCATATCTCAGATGAGTAGGGAAATAAACACAGGTACCACTGGTCAGTGAGGTCATTCTCCAACCAGCAGAAGAGCAGACACAATAAAAATATGTAGTGGGCATGTCATGGATGTTAAACAACTTTCCTTCCCTTGCCTTCATTCCTTGGCCTTCAGGTGGCCAACGTGCACCTGTTTGGAGGTGGTATCAGTAGCTTCAAAACCATATATTACTTTGATTTTTAGAAAAAGACTGAACATTGAAAGTACATCGGTGTTAGTTTAGGGCTATGTTCAACAGGTTGTCAAAGAAGGTGCATTGTTTATCTTCTTGAAGAATAGCACTGGGCAAAAATCAGTTGCTATGAGATCTAAGAGCGTTCCAAGCTAGACACATGCTTCTAGTCCAGTAGTTAATTTCTGGCAGTAGCTTCAGGGGACAGAGAAAAATATTTATTTTGCTTTACCTAAGTAGGTTGGTACTTTGAAAGTGTTCTTTCTTATGTCTCTTCCTGTAAAAATTAAGCATTTTTTTTTCCCAAATATCTATCTTCATAGCAATTTAGAACACATCCATGAATTGATCTAAACTTACTGAAAGTTTTACCCTTTGTTACTTTCTGGGGTAATGTGTTTCATGTCTATTCTCCATTCTAGCTTTTTGTGTTATTTTAATTTCCAAAATTTAAATTATTTATGGTTTTATCATTTATGATTTAGATCCAGGGTCAACATATATTTTCTGTTAAGGCCAAGTAATAAATATTTTAGGTTCCCTGAAGCAGATGGTCTCTGTTATAGTCACTCAACTATGTTGTAGTGAGAAAAAAGCCACAGACAGTATGTAAACGAATTAACAGGGCCATATTCCAATGAAATTCTATTTATAAATCAAAGGCTAGTTGGATTTGACCATTGGGCTACCATTTACCAAACTTTGACTTAGTTAGATCTCATCATCTTGTTCTTCCTAAGCCTCTGGCTCATCTTCTGGATTTTGTTACTTGCTTTGAGAGGTCTTCTCCTACCCTGTCTGTCTTCTTTGGGTTCTGGTGCACATAGAACAAACTGTACTATTATGGCGTACCATAGGAGTAGATGTTCTTTATGTCTTATGCTAGCCTTCTGCTATGCCCAGGATTTGATTTTTTTTTCATTTTAATTTATTCTGTGCCATGAAAGTTAAAACAAGAATCAAAGCCTTAGATATAGTACTGACCAATTTAAAAAACACTGAAATGATCATTTGTGCATATTTCTCATCTTTTAATTTTACATCTTGTTATACGAAGGTACTGTTAACACACACGGTTCTAATTCCTTATAAACCTATTTGTCAAGCAGCAAAATAACAATGCATCATAGCACAGCACAGAATGCTTCCTTGAAGAAACCACATCAGTAGTATTTGGTAAATGGTTATGCATAGAACTCACTTGGAGGGTAATGTTGAATATTCCTCATAAAACATGTACACAACAAGTGGGAAATGTAACTTATAAAATGTTATTCTTTTTGCTTTAAAACTCTTTTTAACACTTAAAACCAGAGAATACAAGGTAATTCTAGATTCCGTAACTGAACACTATTCTATTAGTCACCTGAGAGTTGATAAACTTTGAGGACTGCTCATGGCTTTTAAAAGTCAACTTGAAATATAAAAGCACTGAGTTTACCAAGCAAAATCTAGTTAACTGATTGCATGTTGTATAAAATATACCTTTCAAGAAAAACTGACTTTAAAAAAGATTGCATCATTGATGTATAATAACTTCAAAAATGTTACTCGTTCGAGGAAAAATGCACTACTTTAAAATCTTTCAACGTGTTAAGATGCCATATTTTGTGAATCAATTACTTTATATATTCTAAACTTTCAGCAAAATTATTTGAAATGGTCCTTAAACCTAATAACATCTGAAGAAATGGGTTAACATGTCTGAAATAGCTATCACACATTTATTTCCACTATGAACATCCATTAAGAGTGTTCTATATTTAATTTGATGTAAATATTCAAAACCTCATTTAAACATTCTATACCAATATTTAGTGTGCTAGTATTGTACTAGAAGGGAATTTACTGAGCATAATTGTAGTTTTTATATTTGCTGGGGGAAGATTCCCTGCAGCTGAGAATGGGGCACAATCATTGTGCCTTCATTTCTCTACTGGCTGTAAATGTGACTGACTGGGGCATAAAAAGTAGCACGTTTCTAGCATTAATTTTAATGTTTCATATTTTGCTAGTGCTAAATAACAGATTAAAATTACCAGACAAAAATGCTCAACAGTGTCTTGGGACTGAGTGGATATTTAAATTAGATTTTTCAGTCTGATGTTTTGAGCTCTGGATTTTGTTTTATGTTTGTGTTTTATGGTGGCTGTCTAAGGTTTAGATAATAATTGTTGCTGGAAAACTTTAGCTGTCAAGTTTCCTGTTATGTCAGTATTAAAGAATGATGGCTGATGTAACCTTCTTCTCTCAAATCCATAGTTGTGGCCAAATACAAGTTAATCCATGTAAAGCTGTAGATGTTGGGCACTATTTATTTATGTTTCAAGCATGTCTTGTTTTATCAAATTTTAAGAAATGTTCTGCTTAACTTACTCGAAATATGTACCTAAAAACGTGGCTCATATTCCTTGGGGAGAATAAAAAGAAATGACTGATGCCAATGTGAAGAGTCTATAGACTAATCCTTTATCTAAGCCTTTTTCTTTTCATGGACTTGACATACTGTAGTGTGTACATTTAAGGCCAATATGAGAGGGAAGAGAAATAGTTAATGCAGAATTAGTTCTGTGATATGGTGTTTCTGTCCTTTTTCCTGTTTTAGTGCTTTTGTAGCTGAACTTAACAGAATGACATTACAATAGCATTTTCAGCCTCTGGAAAGTGGACTAGCCTGTGGTTAATGTTAACATTTAAAAGGTTATGAACATTAAAATTATAAATATTAGAATTTTGCCTGAACTCTTCCCCAAAATGGCATTGATCACATATGCCATCTTTTTCAGGATTAATTCTAAAATTGAGGACTCAGGTAGATTGTCTCATTTCTTTCTCACCCAACCATTCCCAGATCTTTCGCCTCTGAAACTTTTTGTGAAAAATTGCCTGTTTTGTAGCATTATTCAGATTTTAATGCCAGGATTTGATTATTATAGTAATATACTTGACTGTTTTCAGGGAATACCTTCTACCAATCAGGAAGTATCTTTGCATCTAGCTCTAATGGACAGCATGGAGCTGACCATCTTTACTA